GGGACAACAGAAATGGGCTTCACTCACTGTACCGATTTTGGGAATCGAACCACATCATTCTAGTCATTTAAAAGTCAATAAAAGAAGTCGTTAAGTTTTACACATTGCTTTGAAAATTTTGCTTTGCCTAAAACGACTGGGCACGAGATTACAGAACTACGGAAGCGTAGTAGGGCCACGGTGAGAAAATGTTATTGGCTTTTTCGTAATTGTTTACAGGTTGACTTGACTGGGGTGGACAAATGTTGAGTACGGCGTAAAACAATACGAAATTAAAAGGCAAAGAATTGTCATTATAGTTACTTGTATTGATATACTCTCCCAAAAAGAAACGCATCATGAAAATATCAATTTCAGCATTGAATTAAAACGTGATTCAGTTTACAAAAGGGTTTGCTATGTTTATGAGTCCAATGGTGTTTATGTTTTGAAACATCACAACAAAACGCACCATCCGTAAAATACCCGTATTTAACGGCATGATTTTCAATTTCGGCGTGTAGTGTCACAGAATACACAATGCACGTGAAAGTTGGGGATCAGATAGTCTCAATGATGGGTATAAAAGGTTGATCGCTGTCTGTCGATTATTCACTGTATTTGGATTATTGTTGACGAACGCAAAATGCCACGTCTAAGTGAAGCCAACGGTCATATCGCCATTGGTTTGCTTGAAGCTGGCCAGTCTCAACGTGCAGTTGCCCGACGCATGAATGTTCACCAAAGCACCATTTCACGGCTCTGAGAGAGATATCGCCGGCAGAATTCGGTAGCTTCCGTACAGAACAGATAATTTCCTATCATATGGAAAATATATTATGGAAAGAGTATTTATGTGCATGATGAATGAATGAATGAAGGAAAGAAGGGAAGGGACATATATACAACAGTTGATTACTGTTGATTTCTAGTTTTGTGTTTGAAGCCATCATCGGAATTATTTATCTGTTTTCAGAAACAGCCTCTGAAGACACTCAAGCAAACAGACACCAGACACTATTTCAGTCAGTCGCATTGTTAAACATGCAGTAATGCATTTATGTAAAATGTGCTCTCTGTAAATAAATCACGTTTTTTAAAATGACTGACGTCCCTGTGATGGAGGAGCAGTCTAAATGCAGAATGTGTCACGCTATGTGACGGTTTGGTCCTTATGAAGACTTAATTGTAGAACTTTCATGGGCACGGTGATGTATCTAGAATATGCAACAGCACTCACTAACACATGACTGATACAGACGCTATATTTGTCAGATACGTACAGTAACGTATAAATGAGTGATTTAGTTGTTAGAGGTCGTGTGTTTTGTTTTCTAAGATGCCTAGCGGTTAGAACAATCGAAAAAAAAATACATTATGAGACAATAAAGGTATAGTTTTTTGATGACGTAACAATTGAATGACGTTATCCCGTCACTGCGCCATTCTAGTGTGCCCCCTCGTAATCGAACCATTTTACATTACGTCACAATGTAAGCGACGTCACGATGCATGTCAGTTGTCATCGCCTCGTACGGCCTCCTACAGTAAACTACACCGTTGCATCCAGTTTCTTGGTTTGCTGTTGCTTCACGCAGCTAACATCACTGGTGGAAACATTACGTTTATGTTTTACGACGGTTAAAATGTGTCATTTCGACTCACAAGTTTTCAGCGACACGGTAACGTTCGTAATGTTTACATTCCCACAATGCATTCGTGGAATGTCGCTTGACTACTCAACTTCCTCTGGATGTACTGATCTAAACTTACGCTGGTAGTAGAAATGCAACGTTCATATTGCCCCATATGGTTTACGTTAATGACAGATGTAATTAAAATAATTCAGAGAGAAGATATTTAATCCGAACGTAAACCGTCATCAAACTGTTATCATTTGTTTTTTTCTGGTAACGTTCGTCTTAACGTAGGGGGCAGACACATCAATAGAACAGCGCGCCAGTTAGCCCTGTGCGAGGATTCTTAATTTAGGTCACCGACACCGTCGTTTGTTTTCTGCCTTAAATCAATCGTAATTATCTTTTGAAAGTATTAAATTTGGCATCTTAGAAAAAGAAATACACTTCGCCCTACCACCATGTATAGTGTAATAAAACACACTTTCGCCCTGAACTATTATAACGTTAAAGCACTCGGACGCAAGCGTCCTCGTGCTTTAACTATAATAGTTCAAGGCAAAAGTGTGTTTTATTACACTATACATGGTGGTAGAGCGAAGTGTATTTCTTAAATAGGTAACTTGCACCATGATGTACTCTTAACAGAAATTTTGATTTCGGTTTGGAAAAAGGAAGAAGAGTTTGATGGTCATATCCTACATCCAAGGTTCATTCCTGTCACGACTGTCCTGTTTCCACTATTTATAAAGTTTTATCATTAATTTTAAAGTACAGGTTCAAGAGGTGCATTGTCTCTATATGTCAGAGCTGGCTGATATGCATTAAATGTTCACCCTGGGGCAAGGTCTGACAAAGTCACATATATAGATATTTAAAGAAAATAAAGGTAAATGTGTCGCAAGTCAGCTGAACTGACAATGACTTTAATTGTGAACTTTTGTCTTGATGTATGAACACTGTCATGTTGATGAAAAATATGAATGACTGGAACATATTTAGCAACCTCCAATGTCATTTGTCCACTTGATAAATTCAAATATTTCCGTAAAACATACCTCTGACAAATCTGTCTAAAGTATTGTATGCATGTTTCTTTTGGTCAGTTACCTACCTTGCTGTGTTACGATCATGGTTTTAGATATAAACAATAGACTAAAACGTCCGCTTCACGAGTGCAAGAGCAGTTTGATGGGACAGTGAATAATCTGTTTTGAAATTGGTTATATCAGTTAATTACTTTAATAGTTTTTTTCTGCTCGTGGCATACCCTACACAAAAAGGATACTACACAGAATGTCGTTTTGGAAACCCGGTCTAGTCATTATTTAAATATACGGATGTCGCAGTCAAGTGACTTGTCATGAATGTAAACAAAAGCAATTGTTCATTTAAATCATTCAACAGAGCTTTAAATGTACACTTTTCTACTTTCTGTTTACACTAAGGTGTGGAACTCACAATCTACGTAATTTCACAGCTGGTATACAAATATCTTGCCAATATCAAACACGAACAAACATCTTTGTACTGGACAACATTCTTCGACCGTCACAGACTAAGAAAAAAGAATTTAATGATGAAACGTACAGTTATTTGTCTGGATCATGTTCATAGAAGTAATCTCAGCGTGTGCAGTCTTTTGTTCTGTGACCCTGAAGATCTAAGCAACCCATGCTTGTGGTAAGAAGCGACTACCGGGATCGGGTTGTCTGGCTTGACACATGTGTTATAGATCGATGCTCAAGATGTCAAACACTGGACTGTCTGAAGTCCAGATTATTTACAGACCACTGTCATATAGCTGGAATATTGTTGTGTTCGGCGAACGAGGCAACGAAAGAGCGAACGAAGGAAGGAATGAACAAACGAAAGGAGGAGGGAACGAACGAACAAACGAAGAAGAAAGGAAGGAAGGAACGAATGAAAGAAGGAACGGACACTCATAGGTTGCTCTTATGTTGAGACAGAGGCCACGAGATAAGAATCCATATCGTCTGAAAGCTGAGTTATGATTGGCTTCAGTGGCGGATCCAAGGGGAGGAGGGGTTCGACCCCCCTTTTTGAAAATGACTTAAGACCACATTGAAAAAAAAAATTGCGTTGGCGGAGCCAAGGGGGGTTCAGGGGTTTTTAACCCCCTGAGCCCCCTCTTTCAAAATTCCTGGATCCAACCATGGGCTTCACAACCACTGCATCCTTATTGTTTCACAGTGAATCGTTAACGTTCCCACTATGTTGACATTGACCGTATCTTATGTTGAGGTGAGAGAGATTATATCACCGCAAGCACTTGTTCACAGGGGCTTGTAACGCTAAAAACTGCCCTCAAGGTATATACTGTCACTGACGGGGTCTTAGTACTATAGTATACTGTCACTGACGGGGTCTTAGTACTATATATATATAGCACTAAGACCCCGTCAGTGACAGTATATACCTTGATGGCAGTTTTTAGCGTTACAAGCCCCTGTGCACTTGATCGTTTGTTAAACACCTTTTATCCTAAGTACCTCTGAGATGATGGCAGTTTTTAGCGTTACAAGCCCCTGTGCACTTGATCGTTTGTTAAACACCTTTTATCCTAAGTTGAATAAAATTCTGAGATGTAAATGTTCATTTGTCAAGGTAAAATTATGAGGATTCGCAATCGTAATTTCACTTAACTTGATTTACTTTTTTGTTTAAAGTGACATTCATCGGTACGTTTTCACTGCAAACAGACTATAGAAGATACAAGATAAAGGTTTACACATCCTTGTATTCCTCATGGAATCACATCCTTACCTTATGGAATAAAGGACTTGGAATGCCACACGGACACATCCATACAAAGAGTACCTTATGGAATAACACTGCCACACAGACAGTACCTTATGGAAAAACACTGCCACACAGACAGTACCTTAGGGAATTACAGTGCCGCACAGACAGTACATTATGGAATAACACTGCCGCACAGACAGTACCTTATGGAATAACACTGCCACACAGACAGTACCTTATGGAATAACACTGCCACACAGACAGTACCTATGGAATAACACTGTCAGACAGACATTATCTTGCGGAATAACACTGCCACGCAGACAGTACATTATTCAAAACAGTTTACAATGGGCCCAACTGTATTTTCCTTTAAAAAGCTAGCCACACTGGTAAAGTAGAAGGTTTCAGCTGATGAGGTATGACAAATGCCAAGGAAGGTGTCAGTTATAAGGTATCAAATGTAAGGTGAGTTGTCAAATGCAAGCTGACTTGTCTCTGTTTGAAATGATATTTCCTTAAACATGCCAAACAAGCCGTTCTAGAGAACTTTTTCATTTCACAAATAGATTTTTAAGCTTTAAAACACGACACTCTAATCCCCGCGATGCCTCAAACACCCATATAAGCAACGCAGGTGCCTGTGTTGTATTAATCCTGTTGCATGAATCGTCCAAGTCTTGTAATCAACTCGTGCAAGACAGTTTGCAAGATGATGTTGGGTGTCTTTGTGTTCCTGAGTCTTGCCCTGTATTCCGATGCCTTGACTTGTACTAGCTGTGAAGATGTTGCTTGCACGACCGTCGGTTTACCCTGTCAACCTCCGAACTACGTGTACGCCCCTTGCGGTTGTTGCCCAAAATGTCCACTTGAGCTTGGACAACCCTGCGGAAGCTTGACACAAAGGTATTTCAAAACGTTTTCGTGTTTGTGCCAAGTCTGAAATTTATTTTCCAATTCTTGTGTACCCCAAGCTACCCCGCCCAATGCAATATTGTTACATTAAGCAGTCCCTTCATCTCCGAACCTACATACCCGTGAAGGTCCGGGTTAGAATTGATCTTCAGTAACCCATGCTTGTCGTAAGAGGCGATTACGGGATCGGATGGTCAGGCTCGCTGACTTGGTTGACATATGCCACCGTATCCCAATTGCGTAGATTGATGCTCATGTTGTTTATCACCGGATTGTCTGGTCCGGATCGATTATTTCCAGACCGGCACATATGACTGGAATATTGCTGAGTGCGGCGTAAAACTAAACTCACTCATCCTAACCTACTCTCATCCTATTGTATAAGTCTTCAATTGTTCATTTAGTATTGGCAGGAACTCATGAACAAAGACAGCAAGAACAACAATTTTAGAGAGTTCTCGTTTCAGTTGAGTTTTTGTCCTGTATATGTGGTGCGTTATCTGTGTATAATGACATGCATGTACTTACTATGACGTGTGATATGTTAATACTGTAATGATATATTTACACTTTACTATATCGTATGTGTGACATATGTGTATAGAGCGTATACTGACACTGTCTATGTGTATACAGCGTATACTGACACTGTCTGTGTATACAGCGTATACTGACACTGTCTATGTGTATACAGCGTATACTGACACTGTCTATGTGTATACAGCGTGTACTGACAGTCTATGTGTATAGAGCGTATACTGACAATGTCTATGTGTATAAAGCGTATACTGACAGTCTATGTGTATAGAGCGTATACTGACAGTCTATGTGTATACAGCGTATACTGACAGTCTATGTGTATAGAGCGTATACTGACACTGTCTATGTGTATACAGCGTATACTGACAGTCTATGTGTATAGAGCGTATACTGACACTGTCTATGTGTATAAAGCGTATACTGACACTGTCTGTGTATACAGCGTGTACTGACACTGTCTATGTGTATACAGCGTAAACTGACACCGTCTATGTGTATACAGCGTAAACTGACACTGCCTATGTGTATACAGCGTAAACTGATAGTCTATGTGTATACAGCGTATACTGACACTGTCTGTGTATACAGCGTATGCTGACAATGTCTGTGTATACAGCGTGTACTGACACTGTCTGTGTATACAGCGTATACTGACACCGTCTATGTGTATACAGCGTAAACTGACAGTCTATGTGTATACAGCGTATACTGACACTGTCTATGTGTATAAAGCGTATACTGACAATGTCTATGTGTATACAGCGTAAACTGACAGTCTAAGTGTATACAGGGTATATTGACACTGTCTATGTGTATAAAGCGTATACTGACACCGTCTATGTGTATACAGCGTATACTGACACTGTCTATGTGTATACTGATTTACGTATGATTTACTATAGTGGGTGGTATACTATTTACCTATACTATGCTACTTTGTATTATATGTGTTTACTGATATACTTATACTTTACTATAGCATATAATATTTGTATACTGATTTATTCATTTTGTACGACCGTGTATGATATGTGTAATACAATACTGATTTACTTGTACTTCACTATAGTGTGCAATATGTGTTTACCGCTATACTGATATATATGTGCACAATGATATACTAAGTACTTTACTACAGCTGACGACAATACTGACATATCTATACTTTACTATGGGACGAGAAACGCGTAAATTGATACATAGTATGTATATGTAACATGTACAGTGTACAGTGTGTTAAATGTGTAGAATGATATGCTTGCAACTTCCTTGAGTGGCATACTAGATTCGATACAGGATATTGTACCGTTGTCAGGCAGCAATGTAACATGAAGTGGAGGGGGCATATATAACGATCCGAGTGAGATTATTATATATACGGTGGTGCGATTATAAATATACTAGTATACAGGACATTGAAGCCCACGGGTCAAGGCAAGTTTTGTTTTCCAGGTGCCAGTTTGATCTTTGGTGCTTTAAGTCAAGTGGTAACAAGATAGAAGCGTATAAAAACGTGCCAAATTTTCCCAGTTTCAAGGGGTGTGTGCCCATCTCGACATCTCTACAAACTAAAACTCTCCAGTGTCAGTTAAGGTAAGTGTCATTAATGGGTAAGAGGTTTACGCTGCATTTAGCAGTATGTTAGTGACAGTAACACACCGTTGTGTCGAGCTTTGATGTGTCGACGATACGGCTGTCTCGAAGTAGAGGCTTGGTCTATGCATGTTCTTACTTTAATTATCATGTTGCATTTGTGTCGAACCTCAGATTACTCGAAGTATTTACGTAATGTACTTCAAGGAAGTAACGGCTTGTCAGTCTGACGTGGACGTGCAGGATTTTTTCCAGTTTGGTGAAGGGGCGGTGGGGCAGCCTAATGGTTAAAACATCCGCTTGTCACGCTGAAGACCCGGTTCGATTCCCCACATGGGTACAATGTGCAAAGACCATTTCTGGTGTCCCCCGCCGTAATATTGCTAGAATATTGCTTAACGTGGCGTGAAACCATACTCACTCACTCAAGTTTGATGAAACCCAAGATCACTTGGTGACAAGCTTATTTAATCAGTTTCGGGCAGGTGTAGTGGACAGCGAACGGAGACGCCTATGTCTCTTGTCCCTAGCCCCTACCCCTTACTCACTGCCAATTATTCATACGAATGACGACCATATTATGTATTCTATATTATTCTCAACGCATTACTATGTAAACAAGTCATATGACACTGACTCAGTTTGGTTTGTGTGAACACTATTACACTCAATCAGTTATCCCTCATCTGACCAGCTCTCTGTCGGAGGAAAACTCGAAGTAATGCAGGTGCCACACAGCTACCACTTTGGTGAAATCCAAGGTGAGAAAGACACACACAGGACGGACCGAGATTCGAACCCATAAGCAAGGGTTTCTGGCATGGCCAAGGGAGGCAACTCTGCGACATAAAAAATAGCGTCATGATATTTGCATACCCCTCCCCCCCCCTGCCTTGAGTAGTCGGCTAATCACATCATTTAAGTTATTTCAATAAAGGCGGTTTCCATCGATATAAGTTAAGTATATAATAGGCAAAGGTTGCTTTGAGGATTTTGCTTTGCCTATAACGACTGGACACGACATCACAGAACACAGAATTTCTCATCATATGGGGAATATGAAGTGCATTTATGTACATGATGGGCGAATGAATGAGTGAGAGAGTTAGTTTTAGGCCGCTTTTAGAAATATTCTAACAATAACATGGTGGGGACACCAGAAATGGGCTTCAGACACTGTACCATGTCTGGAATCGAACCCAGGTCTTCGGCGTGACGAAGGCAGAACAGAGAATTTCCCATCATATGGAAAAGATGAAGTGTATTTATGTACATGATGAATGAATGAATGAATGAATGAATGAATGAATGAATGAATGAATGAATGAATGAATGAATGAATGAATAAATGAATGATTGAATGAATGAATAGATAAATTAATGAAGAGAAGGACACATATACACCATTCGATTTCCAGTGCTGTTGATTTCTAGTTTTGTGTTTGATCCTCTAAAGTTATTATCGGGATTATTTTTTTTTTCAGAAAAAAAACTCTGATCACGTGAAGACCATTCACTATTTCTATCAGTAATGCATTTATGTAAAATGTGCCCTCTGTAAATAAATCACGGTTTGTTCTTGAAAAACTGAAGTCGTTGTTGGAAATACATACCCAAAATGTCATAGAACGATATTTTTGTGGAAGGATCAGTCAAAATGCGGGATGTGTCATGCAACAACAGCACGCACTAACACTCGTACAGATACAGTAGCGATATTTGTCAGATCACCAATTCTCTGTAAAATGGAGCCAATAGCAAACAACGTTAAAAAAATAAAGTTTTGACTTTCCGTGAAATTTTATTAGGTTTCAACTCATGGAACATGGTGTGCAAAAAAAAAAAAAAGGGAACACTCCGTTGATCTGTTACACTCTTATGAAGATACCGGCATCTTTTTTGCATTGTGATCTACTGGATCTCTGTGACAAATCGAAAAAAACAGATTGAACAAACATACATGTAATTACAGTATTGTTGATATTCCTTTTTAATGAAGCACAGCTCTCTCCATCAAAGGCAATTACAGTTGGTGGGATACAGTTTTCAACTTTTAAAAATTCACATCTCAGGGAGGTAAGGAAGAAAACTGAAATCATGCAATCTACGTTGCCACCATATGTAATATTGTTTCATCGTTTCAGTCATTGTAGTGTAACCTGAAACAAATTTGGAATAAAGTTGTGCCTTTTACAAAATACCATCCACTATTGACTAAATCAATGTAATAATTTTTGCTTAGAAAAGGCACAGATGAGTAAACTGAAGAACTACGAGAAACATAACATTTTTGGTAATCTACGTTACCGCTCATTGTATGGTGGCTCTGTAGCTTATAATACACTGATAATCATAAACTTTTACAAAATAATGAGCATTATGTATAGATGAAACAATACAAATAGATGTCATGGTAAAGTAACGAGGTATCAGAGGGTGCCCGATAATGTTTAAAATGTTGACTTTAGTGTAATTACGTTACCAAGGTCAAGGTAACCTAGCTAATTCATTGATTTAACATTAGCTTGATTTTGTATAATAAGTATTGTATTGTTGATAGGTATTAGTTGCATATGAAAAGAAAGCATTGTAGTTGCCAAATGGATCTCGTATATTACATTAGAGAGATGACATTTACGTGTACTGAGTATCGCAGACTCCCTCTGTGTATCATCTGTGACTTGCTTCGCCATTGTTGGTTATTTCCAGCGTTTTATGTTGTATATCAATATATGTAGGTTACGTATATACATTACATCCTTCAAAAACTAGACGATATAAACTCTAATAATGTTTATATTGTAAAGGCATCTGGAGTAAGCGGCTATAGAGAGAGTTTCAACACTTTTGCTAATTACTTCTTCAGCTACTTCACATCATTTTAAGCATTTTATCAACTTGAAGGTATTTGCGTATTCTAGATATTGTTAATTCAACAGTAACGTAGATTAAGCATATACTGGAGACAATGTAATAAGGGGTAATCAATTTTAAAAATCATATTTAAATGCCATCCTTTAGTTTCCCTTGAGAGAACAACATTATAGATTACTCATAAATGCTATTTTAAACTTTTTCAGGATACTATCGTGGGTTACATTTTACATTGTACGTCTGATGACAAGCGTTTTGTGATAAAATCAGCCCTTATGAACATCTGTGGATAGTCAGAAAAGCACGAAGGCGTGCCATTTAACTTTGTTTGCGATATTTAACAGCAAACATATATTAAATACAAATCTCAACTCTTGAGGCTACAGTTTAAGTGCGACAGCAATATTAATAAATGGCTTCGCATTACAGAGAATTGGTGAGATACAGTAACATATAAATGCGTGACCTATTGCTAGAGTGAGTGAGTGAGTTTGTAATATGTAAAGAGGTGACTTGCACCATGATGTACACTCAAAATAGAAAGAGAGCTTCCGGTTTGAAAAAGGGAAACAGTGTTTGATGGGCATATCCAACAACCAAAGTTCATTCTTGACACACAGGATTAGCTGGTTTAAAACATGGCTGAAGTAGTTGAAAGTTCTGCAGTAGCCTCTTACTGGTGAACCACTAGTCACGGGTTCAAATCTCAGAGTTGGTCTGATCATGCTTCTTGATACGTCAGCACCACACACGTGACTATGGGTTTCACAAGAAGTGTCTTCACCCTGTATCACACCCGGCTCTCCTAAGTCATGCGTGGTCGACTGAGTGTTTTTAGTACGCCGTGAGTAGAACTATTCCAGCAGGTCGACATTAGAAATGAGCTTCACTCAATGTACCCGTAGGGAATCGAACCCGATTCGGTTTGACCAGCGAACCCTTGAACCACGAGGCTACCCCACCACGTCGATCAGTCGTGAATTTGACCTAACAGTGAGACGGAAAACGAAAATGACATAATGTTCAATCACGGTAATGGATGCTGTTATATAACCCAAATATTGCAGAGTACAATGCCAAACGCACAAGCACAAATGGATTCAAATATGCAGATACCTACTTTTGCGCGTAGCATCAAAATTTCTTGATTGAATAGCAAACGACAAAGTTAAACGGCAGGCGTTGTGACTCAGGTACAAAACATAATTATTTCACATATGTTACACAAACGAATGTGTCAATGTGTAAGAAAACTGGTAGACATTCTGATAAAGAAAGACAGCACGTAAAGGAAATATCGCTTGTGTTTTGTAGTTTAAATTCAGACATTGTGATCATGAGGGGTATCGAACCCGGGTCTTCGGCGTGACGAGCGAGCGCTTTAACCTCTAGGCTACCCCACCGCCCCTCTAATCCTTTGGGGGCGGTGGGGTAGCCTAGTGGTTAAAGCGTTGGCTCGTCACGCCGAAGACCCGGGTTCGATTCCCCACATGGGCACAATGTGTTAAGCCCATTTCTGGTGTCCTCCGCCGTGATATTGCTGGAATATTGCTAAAAGCGGCGTAAAACTAAACTCAGTCAGTCAGTCTAATCCTTTGAACGAAGTATGTTGCTTATACACAGACAATTATGTGTGAGTATATTCCCGTCTGCTGTGGTACACCTACATATATGAACACTTTGGACAAATCCATTGTGCAAGATAACAGTGAGCAATCAACGGATAGCTGCTAGGTCCTTTCATTGAAGGTTTTGGCAAGTCAACTGTCCATTCCCCTCTTCCATTCCCGACCTGCCAAATACATTGTACGAGCATGTAACATCTATATTTGTTTGTTGTTTAACGCCGCACTCAGCCATAGTGCCTCTATATGACAGCAGTCTGCACACAACCAGACAATCCAACATCATAAGCATCGATCTGCGCAACTGGGATACGATGACATGTGTCAATCCAATCTTAGATGATTACACCAGACAATTCCAAATGCGAGCTACTGATTATAACTATCGCTTTCAAACATCGTACGACAGAACGCCGTGAAGTGCCGCTTAGATTTTATGATCGCTTCACCGTTATGGACGCATGTGGTTGTGTATCAAGTTGTCAGCTATACACGGAAGATGTCGCTTTACTATTGATCATGTCTACATGGGACGTTTTTCATGTGTTGTGTACTTATGCAAGTGTGTAGATTTACGATCACCGGGTCTTCTGCCAGCAGAAATAGGTTCAAGTGGTCCCTTGCTGCTAGAAATGTCATGTGGTCCTCTGATTCGAGAAATAGGTTCACATGGTCCTCTGATTCTAGAAATAGGTTCACATGGTCCTCTGATTCTAGAAATAGGTTCACATGGTCCTGTGATTCTAGAAATAGGATAGCGTGGTCCTCTGATTTAGGTTCACATGGTCCTCTGATTCTAGAAATAGGTTCACGTGGTCCTCTGATTCTAGAAATAGGTTCACGTGGTCCTCTGATTCTAGAAATAGGTTCACGTGGTCCTCTGATTCTAGAAATAGGTTCACATGGTCCTCTGATTCTAGAAATAGGTTCACGTGGTTCTGATTCGTGGTCCTCTGATTCTAGAAATAGGTTCACATGGTCCTCTGATTCTAGAAATAGGTTCACGTGGTCCTCTGATTCTAGAACTAGGTTCACGTGGTCCTCTGATTCTAGAAATAGGTTCTCTGACGTAGGTCACGTGGTCCTCTGATTCTAGAAATAGGTTCAAATGGTCCTCTGATTCTAGAAATGGTCCATGGTCCTCTGATTCTAGAAATAGGTTCACGTGGTCCTCTGATTCTAGCGTGGTCCTCTGATTCTAGAAATAGGTTCACGTGGTCCTCTGATTCTAGAAATAGGTTCACATGGTCCTCTGATTCTAGAAATAGGTTCACATGGTCCTCTGATTCTAGAAATAGGTTCACATGGTCCTCTGATTCTAGAAATAGGTTAGCGTGGTCCTCTGATTCTAGAAATAGGTTCACGTGGTCCTCTGATTCTAGAAAGAGGTTCACGTGGTCCACTGATTCGAGAAATAGGTTCACGTGGTCCTCTGATTCTAGAAATAGGTTCACATGATCCTCTGACCTCTTAAAATAGGTTCACATTGTTCAATAATCCTGCCACGCTGCCACAAGCCAAACGAGCGAAGGATAGCAAAGCCCCAACAAAATTGCACTGTTTTGTTGAACAAAACTTCTATATTAATTTTGTACATGAAGTACATGTGCTGGTTACTCATGCAAATGCTCTCTTATAAGTACAGTAAGATGATTTTGGATAACAATTTTATTTTTCAATACGAAGATTGGGTGCAGCTTACATTTCTCAGTCTAAACATGTCTGTCACTATGTACCCAGTCTGTACGTGTCCTCCGACAAGCGTTCGTGGTTGAAATTGTTGGTTACAACAAGTGATGTGTTGTGAGTTGCGGATAACACCGCATTGCACACTGTTCCAGTTATATCACGTCCTTGAGCTGTAAGCTTGATGTGGAAAGAAAGACCCGAATGGCGATGTTCCCTTTAATCAATCAACACAATCATACAGGGTCAAATATCGAAGCTGGCTTTTTCCAACTAGTCCGCATTCTGAAAGAAGATCATGACATGATTGCATCGGTGTATACAATTGGGTTCCCTATAAACATAAATATTGTTGGGGATACTGTTGAGTGTGCTCAGCTTTCATTAAACAACATACCTCCCCAAATAGTCGTGAATCTTAATGTGTTCAGAATATTTCAGTCAAGTGAGTGAGTTAGTGAGTTTAGTTTTACGCCGCACTCAGCTATATTCCAGCTATATGGCGGCGATCTGTAAATAATCGAGTCTGAACCAGACAATCCAGTGATCAACGGCATGTGCATCGATCTGCGCAACTGGGAACCGATGACATGTGTCAACCAAGTCAGCAAGCCTGACCACCCGATCTCGTTAGTCGCCTCTTACGACAAGCATGGGTTACTGAAGGCTCATTCTAACCCGGACTTTCACGGGTCATTTCAGTCAACCTGTTATAAAGTACATCACAGACATTTATATATTATATATTATATTCGTCTTCTCTTGACATTTATCCAGTGTGAGAAGATGGATGAATGAGGTCTTTGTTTAACCGTGATTATTTATCAGGGAACACCAGGTGTTCGTGAAAGGGGTGAGCCGCCTTTCCTCAAGCAAGTCTGAAGTAAAAGATGTATTGAATTACTCACTTTCTTCAGTAACGTGATCAACGATGGTGTGATCTGTGACGGTGTGGCAGAAGATGGAAGTAGGGCCGAGGGCAGGATGCATTTCCCCACGACATTTGCCCAGTAAGGGGGGCGGCCGTTGTAGGCACCGGCGTTAGTCAAACATACTAGACGAGATTCGCATCTACAAGAAAGATATAATCACACAGAAAACAATATCACGCGAGCCCTGGTTTTGCTCTGATAAAAAAACGAACAATATCGAAATAGTGAGTGAGTGGGTTTAGTTTTACGCCGCACTCAGCAATATTCCCGCAAAATAATTGAGTCTGGACAATCCAGTGATCAACAGCATGAGCATCGATCTACGTAACTGGGATACGATGACACGTCAACCAAGTCAGCGAGCCTGACCACCTGATCCCGTTAGTCGCCTCTTACGACAAGCATGGTTTACTGATGATCAATTCTAACCCAGATCTTCACGGGTCAATCTCGAAATAGGTTTGAGTGAATGAATTAAGGTTTAAAGTTAGCTTCATGTCGTAGGAGAGCTAGAAGTGATCTTAGTCGTTTACTGCTTTGGTAAAACCTACGAGCACAAGTTTAGTGCTGATAAACCTAGAAACGTCTTTGAGCCGAACAGGGAACCCAGCCAACGACCACAGGGTTCCAGCGGACTAAGGGATGTAACTCTGTAACACTTCAAGCGCACCAACAATTGTATGATATAATTAAATAGACCAGAGTCCAATGGCAGTACACAGTGCGAAATTGACTGGCCGTACAATTACTTGGCAGTATGAAATTCAATAACATGGTTGCTGATGACCAATTGTAACCCGGATCTTCACGGGTTTCAATGTTAACAGTAAACATTATAATATTTGTCATCTTAGTGAAACGCACATTTGAAACATTAACTATAAAACAATAATTCAATGGCTGAAGTTAATAAATAATGAAACTTTCACAAACACAAAAATATAACTCTCATTTAGAAGAACGTAGAGATACTCTTTGACCTACTCGACAGAAAATGGTCCACATTCGCCTCCCAGCCCAACTCTACATTCCATACAGCAAGAGCATGGTCGCTGACCAACCTCACAACTTGGGGGTGGAGGGATACAGGTAGCATTAACACAACTGATGCACTGTAACGCTGATGATAACGGCATCAACGACGCCAGCAGCCCCGCGATGTACAGTATGTTGTTCATCGTTAAGACCACGATACCACAATGTCTGAATGGCGAAGCACAGATAGAGGGGTGGTGACGTTCAGGTCAGAGATAAGAACTTAGGACTGGTCTGGGAACGATAATGTCTATTTAAATGTCTTATGGTGATAAGAATTGTTGATAAACATTATTCTTATGTAATATTTGAAAATTATAGGGAGAATTTAGTTGCTTTAGTCAAACTGGTGTTTGTTTGGCATTTTGATGAAGGGATGGAACTAATTTATAAAATGTAATGTTATAACATACTACAGTTTACTGTCGTTACATGGACATTGAACGGACCGGGGGAAAAGCGACCAGTTTACCGTCGTTCAGTTATCAGTCCTCAGCGACCCAGTCAGGGTATTCTGAGACCCAATTATGGTAGTTAAAGGCATATTTGTGGTAAAACAAATTCAACAGAATTTGTATGCATATACTAGTATCTTCATTGGTCCATATGAATACAATAGATATCTTTCATAGCGATTGTGCTTGAGGAAAATGTCTGTAAGTAGTGTTTGCTTGCTCGAAATCAAAGTATAGAGTAGAGGTCGTGAACAAAGACACGAGTTGAGTACACTTACTGCAGAAGGTTGTCAATCCGTTTATTCAGTACTGAAGTGGCCACAGGCCTGTAGTACAATTATAATATACATATGGTAGAATATAAGCAATCATTAACGTGTATATTGCATGACACAATTAAGACATGACAGCCTTTCTATAGTTTAAAGCATTGAATATAAATGCTGATACATTTCGTAGAACTTGAGAATTGTTCGAACTCGGTAGAGCAATAGATTTGTGAGTGTTTGGGTGTCTAATATAATAATTAGACAGATGTTTTTTCTTATTGTTGAATAAAATGGACATATAAGAAGTAGATGATATTCGTCTTCTATGATATTCAAATTACAAAGTTTACAATATCTATTTTCCCTAGAAATATTTGTGTACCTTCCTGTTTGCACAAAGAGATCATGGGATGAACATCTTAGCCTTGCAATTGCTATCCTAAATTTCTTCACATTTATAACCTCGAGGTAAGTTTCAGTTTCAATAGTGGATTTTAGCTGTTTGTAGTAGAAACATTTACTCGACAAACTCTGGGCGCGATGCCAATCTTGCAGAAATATGTCTTTTAACCTCTGTGTAAAAGTCATTATGAAATTTGAAGAACAGTTTACATGTTGATCATACCAAATGTAATTAAAACCTGTATTAAAAAGTATCTCCTTCACGTATGTGGTACCTCCTTCACGTGAGTGCCCTAATTTCGTTTACCATTTACCTTTATTATCATATACTAACATCATTTCATAGCATTTCCGTGGGTATCTGTAAGGGGTCATATGGATAAGTCTTAACCAATATTTAATGACTTTAATATAAGCATATATACACATGGGATAACGCCCCGTTTCCCCATACACCTGGGGGTATTTGTTTTAATTCCTAAGTATTTTTACAGGCAAATAAGTGTACTTGTTCAATTGCATCATAAGCTGTAAGTCCCCATACCTCTGACCCATAAAGTAGTACTCGGCTTACTTTTTGCGTTAAATATCTTGATAAAAGCATTATAAGATATGTCTGAAAGTACAGAAAGGTTCTTGCCAATTCCTTAGCCTGGTTTGACGAATTCCAAGTGAGGCGATACGTAAAATACACACCTAGATATTTATAGAAAGATGTAGTTTCCAACATCTGTCCGTTATAAAACCACTTTTCATTTTTCGCTAATTTACCTCCATTTTTAAAAGCAATCACTTTAGTTTTGTCCATATTTACAGTCAATTTTGTATCTTCACAGACAGACAGACAGACAGACAGATTATTTATTAAAGTCTCACCCCTGTTATACATATATACAAACTAATTAAACATATATTTACATAGGGCCATTCCATACGGAATTATGAGAGACTAAAATTCTTTAAAATTGCATGTACATGTATTATGAATAACAATAATTAAAAGTTATATAATACGGATTTTCTCCTTTTAAAACAACATGGCAGGTTTTGGCAGCTATAAAACAGATATTGCTATTGGACAGGATAAAAGCAGTTTTTGTATATCAGTAAGATTACTAAAATTCTGACATAGGCTATCACAAGTATTTAAAAGACTAAAACGTTCATCCCTATAAACCGGACAATTAATTAAAACATGAACTTCGTCTTCAACACAGTGTTTACAATAAAACATTTTCTGTCGTTGAGTGGAATATTGTTGTATCTACCCAGCTCAATATTAATTGGTGCAGTGCCGGATCTGAACTTAGCATATGCACTTCTGTATGGGCGGGGCATGGGATGAGTTACGTAAAATTCTGGGGTATAAACATCCTTAAAAGTACCATAAAAGCGTAGCTTATTTGCCCCTGTTTAGATGGACCACAGGTATTCCCTACCGATTCCTTCCACTCATGTCTATAAGTATCAAATAATTTCTGCATAACACTTTGTACAATAAACCTGGAGTTAAAACTATTAGTGGGGAAATAAAGTGCTCAAGATCAACATTGGCTAACTTTTTATGAATTTTAAAATTAAGGTTTCTTTTTCTTCTAAAAGCCCAGAGGTTACCCCAAAGAAAAATTTTGCTCGTTAGTCGATATTGATCCAGGTTACAAAGACGTTTATAAAATCTGACAACACTGCCCCACTGGCGCACGATAGGGGGAGTCCAACCCATGTCACCGCTCACAGCTGCGTTGGGTGCAAACTTTTCACACCCAAATAGAACCGCATTGCACGGTTTTGCACAGCGTTCACACATGACATGTTTTGTGTTCCCCATATACATGCGCCATAATCTAAAACAGACCACACCATGGAATCATAAAGTTTGGTAAACAATCGGTACTCCATACCACCAATGAGCTTAAACTTGGAGATTAACAAACCTAGGGCTCTGCTGGCTGAACTTGCCGCGGCCTTTGCCATTCTAGAATAATCTAGATGTTCATTAAGTAACAGGCCCAAATAACAATAAGAATCAACAACTTCAAGATTTAGATTTCCACAAGTAAATGTACAGCTGGTTCTGTCAACGGACTGATTCCTAAAATGTATAACTTTTGATTTACTATCATTGACAGACATTTTGTTCGTATCACACCATGTGTTCAGACAATCCAATAAAATATTAAGATCTGTTTCACTCTCCGCTAATAAAATAAGATCATCAGCATATGCTAAAACACCTACCTTTAAACCATCAACATTCACACCTATATTCATATTATCTAAAACTAACAACAGATCATTAATATACATATTGAATAACAATGGTGAAAGTAAACATCCTTGTTTAAGACCGCAATTAACATCAAACCATGGGGTATTAAAACCATTCAAACGGATACAACATTTGACGTTATCATAGATTGACATAATTGCATTAAAAATCCTACCCCTAACATTTTGTGAGAGTTTTCCCCATAAAATATTCCGATCAATACAATCATATGCTTTTCTAAAATCTATAAAAGCAGCAAACGTGGATTTTTTCATACTTTTTCTTGTTTCTATAATAGATGTAACACTATATACATGATCTATGGTAGATCTGCCCTTTCTAAACCCGTTTTGATTATCATGTAAAAGGCCATTGCTTTCCATGTATTCACTCAGTCTGTTGTTCAGTACCCCACAGTAAAGCTTATAACTGGCACTGGCTAACGTTATACCCCTGTATGCGAGCGGGTCCCTGGGGTCATCCGTGGAGGTCTTTGGGATTGGTGTGATAACGCCTTTACCCCACATAGAAGGGACAACACCCTCGATAAAGCATACATTAAAAAGGCTATGTAGAAATAACAAACAATTAGAGTTTTTCAGCACTTCGACTGGAATAGCATCGATACCCGGCGATTTACCTCCCTTTGCTGTCAATAAAGCCCGCTGCACCTCCCCAAGCGATATAGGTATATTGAGCTCACTGTTACTGTTACTGTTTGTGTCACGTGGCACACGTGTACAGTCAGAACTAATATTAGTGTTGAGTAGATTCGCATACGCATCTCTCCATGTCCCTAAAACAGTGTCTATATTTGAACTAACGGAGCCATCAGACAGCTTAACTTCCATGGGGATAGTCTTTTTCCTCTCAAAACCCACGCCCACTTTACCTATCTTCCTCCAAAACTCTGAAGTATCCCTTTCACACAAACTCTCTAACTCGCGTAAGGTGCCTGTCTGGAAGTCACGCTTCGCTTTCTGAACTTTCCTATCAAACAGATCCCGTTTTAGAACATACTCATGTTTAAGATTCGCTCTACCCATCCCCTTACATTCACACCATCGCCTTTCTGCAACACACATGTCGTTCCATAAAAGTGCCAGTTGTGGAGTCCACCATTCCTTAGCACGGCGACGCTTTTTTGTTTCTAGCATGGGAATCAAGGAGTATGGTTTTTGTCGGCAGTATACTGTGCATTTCATTTTTGACACTATTCACAAACGAGTTAAAAGCAATGTCTACATCAGCCTGTACAAATTGGGATGACTCTAATTTATTGACAATGTCCACAAGTGACCGATAACTGTCATCAGATTGCATAAAGCTATCCAGTTATCCTGAGTTCGTGTTAACATTTGGTACGGATGTCCAGTTATCCTATCTGCAGTAATCCTACGCCCAGTTATCCTATCTCCAGTAATCCAGTGTCCAGCTATCCCATCCCCAGTAACCCTACGCCCAGTTATCCTATGTCCAGCTGTCCTATCTCCAGTTATCCTATGTCATGTTTTCCTATCCCTGTTTGGCATTTAGATGAAGGGATGGAGCCGCCTCGGGTGCAGATCTTGGTGGTATTAGCATCAATATCCTGGCGTACAGCGAAGTTATCCATCAGTGTTTCACAGTGAGATAGTAGCTCCTATCTGATGTCTACATACAAGGGACAGTGTAGGAGTACGTGACACTCATCTTCTACAGAGGTGGTGGATATAAAACATGTTCTCCTTGCTTTTTTTTGCTTTTTTTCAGCGGTGCTGTTCCGCTCCTGAACTTAGCGAGTGAGCTTCTGTGTGACCTGAT